ATTTATCCAAAATCATTTATTTGTCCCAGTTTTATATTAGAAATGTCCAGGTGTCCCTTTTTTTCACCTATTTGGTAAATGGTCACATTTTTATACAGCGCTTTTCCATCTTTAAAACACTCAAAGCACTTTACAACAAGGAACCACTCACACATTCACACACATTCACACACCAGTATACACACACACACACACACTGTGGGTGATTTGGGTTAAGTGTCTTGCCCAAGGACACAACTACAGCATTCATCTGTGGGAGCTGGAATCACACCTCCAACCTGTGGGTCAGTGGATCCGATCACTCAACCCATGATGTTTATGTTGAAAGTCAACCTTCAGATCAGTGGACGAATGCTCTACCAACTGAGATATTATTCTTTCTTTGTTGAGGTAAAATACTACCCAGGCTGGCGCCACCTAGTGCCTCCGTTTAATTTCATTTCTCTCCAGCGACTCGGTCAGGAATCAAAATACACTAGACGGTTTGCAAGAACCCTGGAAGCTGTAGGCCGTGCACGACCAATCAGCTGTGAGCTCCATCTCGTCTGTCTGTGTCACGTCGAGATGGATGTAGACGAAGACAGACATTCTGTGTTGGCAACGATTCCCGAGATCGAGGATTTCGAGCCGGAACATAGAGAATGTTTGGTGAATTTCATCAAGGGGAAAGACGTATTGTCCTTCTTCCTACGGGATTTGTTGCATTACAGACGTCACGACCAAACAGCAGTGATTGGTTAAAAAAGTACCTGCCTACCGTTGAGCGAATGAATCCTAATGCTGCGAGGTCAGACGGTTTTTATGTGAAACCATCTGATGAATCAGGCTATAAAATACAGAAAAGCTGCTTAAAAATGACCAAAACACAAAGAAAATGCGACTAAACTGACTCAGATGTTAATGATATAAGTCATGATTGGGCCAAGCGCAGAAGAGTTTTCCTTAATTACGCACTCGTTTCACAATTTTATTATCACCAACCACCTGAAACGGCAGATGTCCCAGTTTGTGATTTTGAGAATCAGGTCAACCTATACAAATGTAAATCTTTCACTAGGCCTGTGTATTTGTTTCACTCCAGGTTAAGGAACGTGTCTGAACATTAATATTCTCTGTAATCCCATCTGCTCGTTAGTGTTAGTTATTGAGCTTTGACTGACATGGAACGCTAAGCCCCGCCCCTAAACCAAACGCCCAGATTTGAAAGCTTCCATTTGGACCTTCCTCATTTTGCGCTGTCGTCTTTTAGTAGAATTCAGCTTCAATTCTCTCACGATTGTTGATGTTTTTGCTTAAAATAAGAAACGGGAACAAGCGTGAAACAGCAGGTCCAGAACTCAACCTGTCAGAGCGGCTCAAAATAAACATTCTGCTTTGGAGTAATTTAAGCAGATGTAGATTCTTCTTTTTGCAGTGCAGGACGGAGAGAATAAAAGAAAGAGGATGAAAAGAAACGTGTGATTTAAAACAGCCCCGAGTCCAGTAATCAAAGCTAATGGCGCCTTTGTGTCTAAAAAGCATCTGATAGCTTTAGAGCAGCGAGCGGCTAAAGCGAAGCTAACTGCGGCGCGTGCGGGTCAGTGTGTGTGTGTGTGTGTGTGTGTGTTTGTGTGCGTGTGTGCGCTAGGCTAATGTGCGCTGCTAGCCGCTTAACACCTGCTCCTTTGTGAGTTAAAAGGCTCTGGGAAAAACAGTCCCGCTCATGGTTTTAAAGGGCTTTATTAGTGCGGCGTGTTTTAGCGCTGGCCCTCTGTGCTCTCTGCGCTTTTATTATGATTGTGTGTGTGAGATTGTGTGTGAGTGTGTGTGTGAGTGTGTGTTTGAGTGTGTGTGTGATTGTCAGCTCCTTTAGCGCCCGGGTCCTGACCACAGGAAAATTACAGGGAAGAGACAGGAAGGCAAACGGAGAGTGCTACAAAGCAAAGCACACTGCAAAAAAAAAACACCAAAACACATGCACAAAGATCTACTTCAAACACTCACACACTCCATTTGACTTTGTTCATTTACCGAGCAGATGGTGTTATTTTAAAGCCACACTATGTAACTTTTTAGACGTAAAAGCGTGTGTTTTTTTTGTCATGTTTATAGCACTGGAAACTACAGAAAAACACGTGTATTTACTGTGAGCGGGCTTGCATCTCCACAAACCTGACTCTTATGTCTGGACTCTTGCTTGGCCTGGAGGATGGACTCTTGCTTGTTTCCACGGAAATGTTTGGCAATAATATACCACATTAGGGCTGACAGTTTTAAGAAAAAAATTGAATTGTGATTTTTCTGGCAGATATTGCAATTTCGATTTCATCCACATTTAATTTTTTTTCAAATTAAGTTTCAGTGCACATGAACATTTGCAAACATCACAGAAGCTTACATCAAACCAGAGTACTGCACCAATGATTTCGTAAATTGGGCCTAAGGAGCAGTGCAAAAAAACATGGCTTTGATGCTCCAAAAATCGTGATGTCTGAGATCATGATTTTCGGTCCAAAACGGTAAATCGTTCAGCTCTATTCCACATTATGGCATAAAATCTCTCTCTGGTTTTAACTTTGACTATTTCCATTGAATCGTCCAAGGAACATGCCACCTGCACAAAATAGACCACCACTCTACCATTGGGAAAAAAAAAAAAAAAAAAAACATAGGGAAAAAAATTTGTGGGGAAAAAAAAAAAGGAAAAATATTTTTTTTTAAAAAGGAATAATTAACAAATATTGGAAATTTGAGTAATTTTAACAAATGATCACTTTTTATTTACATCATTATTACTTTGGAACAGCATTTACTCTTATGTAATTACATGGTGATAGGGGTTAAGGTCATACATGTTATTACATTGTACTTACCGAGTTAGATTCCTTCCACTGACAGATTATTTACCGTGAAATTAGGAAACCAAAAATACTGACACACCTCAAAAAATCTGGACCTCCTGACTGAAAAAAAAAACACCCACATTTATATGATTCATGTGAACAAAATCGACTTTGATATGCAGTTAGTGGACAAACTAACTGATCTTACTTAGACAAAAACAGGTCATGAAGAATATACTAAATCAATGTAAACTTGTCACTTATATTTGAAGTGGTGGTTGTTGTTTGCTGACGTGTTTTTACTGGGCCTCTCTAACAGGACACATTTGCTTTTCCTTTTACATCCAGATAAACTCGTTCATGTGAGTTTATGTTTTGCAGTGTTGCAGTTAACACATACTTAAACTAATAGACCTTCATTAGCTAAAAACAGGTCATAAAATCATGTTCACTTTCAAAACCTCTTAGTGTTGTGCAGTAAGTGGAAGACTCAGTTCAAGAGTCAGTGGAAGAGTCAGTGGAAGACTCAGTTCAAGAGTCAGTGGAAGAGTCAGTGGAAGAGTTAGTGTAAGCTCATATGTTTGAACAGTGCGTCTCCCACAGAGACATGAGAGCATATCCTCTGAAGGAGCACATCTCATGTGTCTTTGTGCTCTCTGTCCTTGGACTTGTCAATGGGAATCATCTCACTCACTTCCATTTTATTTATTTTTTTCTAAGCTCGATCGGACAAGGACGACAGACCCTCTGCAGTCACACCGTTTACAAATGTACCAGTCCTTTCCATCACACTAGTGCTGTCACCATTTCAAACTCGATTTCAGTACTAAGGAATCGATACTCAATACTGATTCTGATACCACAATGAGATTTAAGAGGCTCTATTTAGCCAACAGAATGTGATTTTCAACATTAAATACTAGTCCATGTGGTCTTATACTTGTTCTGATACAGCTCCAGATCATTCTGAAGCAGGGATCTCCAACCTTTTTTCCTTCGGTGAGATCCTTTTACAAAACAAAAATGCCAGAGAACTCCTCATTTTAGCCGCTGCAAGTAATTGAGTAAATATAAACGTCACGGTCTTCGATAAGGAACCATTATCTATTTATTAGTGCAGAAAGTGAAGTCAGGCATGAAAATCATACTTTGACAATTTTAATAGTCGTTATATTCATCAAATTTTAGTTATTCAGCACAAAACTTATAAATCAGAAATACTTTGTCGAGCTACTTGGGAGGAGGGGGAGAGCTACTGGTGGCTCCTGAGCTACAGGTTGGAGACTCCTGTTCTAAAGGGTCCTTGTACCATTTGTACTTTAGTATTTCAATTAAGAACCCAAAACAATAAAATGGGAAAACAGTTTATTTCATTATTCCATTTTAGTGTCAAACAAAAAAGCAGATTTCAACCTCTATTTCCAGTATTTAAAGTTTATTTCAAATAACGCCAATCAAAAAACAGTCCTGTGCTTATTGTAATTTGGATATTTTATTCTTTGTGGTTTATTTGCCCCGGAAGTTCTGCTGCTAAGTGCGCTGTGTGAATTCAGCATCAACTGAACAAAGGAGTTTATTGCCTCACTGTTTCTTGTTTCTCGTCATGGAGTTTAATGACTTTCTAAGACGAGAAACTAAACGTGTCACTATAAAAGTAGACGACACGTTTGTTCAGAAAACTGCCATGATTTTTCAGATAAGTCCTTCAAGCAGCAAAACTTTTGGGTCAAATAAACCACAGAGAATAAAATATCCAAATTAAAATAGGCACAATGTTTTTTGATTGGTGTTGTCTGAAATAAACTTTAAATTAAATATTGGAAATATTGGAAAGGATGTTGAAATCAGTTTTTTTGTTTGACACTAAAATAGAATAATGAAAAACACAAACTTAATTGAAATTCAAAAGAACAAATGGTACGCGGACCATAAATACATTCAGGAAAGCTTCATTTCTCTTCTGTAAATGGGACTTTTTTAGTATCAATACCTGCGAAAAAAAGAGTGTCTAATTTGAGCTTCGATTAGTATCCGATTTTCAATATTTTCAACAAGCGTAGGGTGAAGTACGTTGCCCAAAGACACAACAATAGAATGCACCAGTTGGTAGAAGTTGCTCTAAAACACAAATGTTGACTGTGATCACTGAATGTATTTTGTGTTTGTGTTTGTGTGCAGATGAGTGTGGAAGGTGACGACAAGAGAACGCGCACTCGCTCCAAAGGAATCAGAGGTGAGAGTTTTTGTACTTTGTATATTTGTTTGACATGTTAAAGCTACCATCTGTTACGAGTCTGGCTGACCCGCCCTGTTGGCACGTGACCAAACCCGATGCACACTCACACGTTCAGTTCTCTTTGTTTAGCATATATATTTAAATCAGGGGTGTCAAACTCATTTTGGTCCGGGGGTCATATCCAACCTACTTTGATCCCAAAGGGGCCAGACCAGAAAACTCATGGCATATAAACCCCAAAAATAACAATAAGTTGAAATATTTGTGCAGAGAAACACAAATCTATTCCAGAAATATTTTTTTAATTGATGAACTCTTTCTTATTATTATATTATAATATTATGAACAACCTGAAACTTTAAGAAAAATTCAATTTCAACATTTAAAATATTTTAGTAGAAAACCACCCAAGGGCCACATTAAAGGTCTTGGAGGGCCGGATCTGGCCCCCGGGCCTTATGTTTGACACCTGTGATTTAAAGGGTCCATCTCATGCAAAATAACTCTTTTCACATTGTATCTTCTTGCACATAAACAAGCACAATTTGGGTTTTGGAACATCCATTACTCAATAGTTCTGAAATCTTACTGATTTCTATGAATTATGAATGAATGACTATTGCTCATCCCCCCGCCCGTCCTGAGAAAGCACAGGCTCCGCCCTCCAAACGTAATGTAGGTGACGAGTGAGCCGCCCTTCCTCCACCCATCTCAGGGAGGGAGGGGGAGACAGGCGTGACCCTGATAGCGGCAGGAATAAACTTTTATTCATCATGGAGATACAGCACGTTCAGCCGCATGTGTTGGACCATGAATCGGACGAGGACTTTGAGGAGCTCAAGCACCGCGTCCACATCAGCTGAACATTACTGATTGGTAAAGTTTTAATAAACACTAGTAGATCAACTTATTATGTAGAACAATGAGCTTATGCTGTCGCTTTTGTTTAGGTGTTCATGTGGGAACTGTCAGTCGATGTGGGGTGGAGGCGGCGGAGGCGGTGGAGTGGGGGAGGGGGGTAGTTGTGAAGTGCTTTCTGCTACGTCAAACGTGTCATAGGTTAATCTGCCGCGTCGTCGTTGTAGCAGCTTTAGTTCGTTGTCACGTGGGAGGGTGGCAGAAAAACGTTAAAAAACGCCGAAACAATCTACAAATCACTTTGGCGACAAATACAAGGCCCACACATCACTCTTAGAAGGTAGAAAGCTCTGAAAAGTTGATTTTGCATGAGATGGGCCCTTTAAAGGAAATACCGTGAAATCAATAGCTGACAAAAATATCAAACTGCACATTTGGTTTTAATAATAATATTTTGTTCAAAGTTCAGATTTTTTTAAGGTGTATTATGTAACTTTTGTGGTGGAGCATCTGTCAAATGCTTTTCTCCATGGACATGTTATTGCTTATGTTGTTAGGTTCTTTTTTCAGACCAAGGCTACGTTCAGACTGCAGGGCTTAATGCTCAATTCAAATTTTTTTGTGAAATCCGATGTTTTTGCGAGGTCGTTCACATTTCCAATTAAATGTGACTTGTATGTGACTCCAGTGTGAACGGTAAACGGCCCGAAAGTGTCCCACATGCGCACTGGAGACACGATGACGTCAACCCCATGCATCAACCGCAGCGAGCGTGCTCTGTGTTTACGGAAGTTGTCCAAACATGGACGCGAGCATTGAGCACCTGGCGATTTTACAGTTCCGATTCTGCTTCAGCGCAGAATAGTGACGTTTGTCGCTTGTTGATGACGTGTAGGTCGGATGAATGCGCTTTGGCCGTTCAGACTGAAGTCGCATGTCAAAAGATCGGATATGTATCAGTTTCAGGAGCACATATCCAAGTGTCCTGGGTCACATTTGAAAAAATCGGATCTGTGCCGTTCAGACTGTCATTAAAAGATCGGACACAGGTCACATAGGGGCCAAATAAACGGATTTGGGTCACTTCAGGCTGCAGTCTGAACACAGCCCATGAGTTTGTTTTTCATTTGTTTGTCTGCTCCCTGCGCTCTTTCTCAGCGTGGTCATGTGATGTTGCTGTGTCGTGTCGCTCAGCTGATTTAAATTTTTGGTTTTGGCACTGTCTTCCTCTCGGTGGAGGCAGGACAACAGCACCATCTGCAGTACAACTTCCTCAGGACAGTATCTCTGGTGTGTGAGAGTAAAAAAGCCTCTCGTCCCGGTTCATAGTTCCGGGTTTGTGAGAATAAAAATCAGCTGAGCGACACGTCACAGCAACATCACGTGAATCTGAAGAAACTGTCAGGGAAGAAAACTAACTTTTGGTCTGAAAAAAGAACCTTATAACATAAATTCAATCAATCAATCAACAATTTTATTAATCCCAAAGAGTAATTCAGTTCACACATCTCTGGTTGTGCACAATCCATAAATACATAAAATTTAAAATCGAATACATACAACACACACCGTTCATTCAAACGTCAGTGCATCAGCGGACACAACAGCAAATTTACTTTCCATTTCAAAGCTTTATGGCAGAAGGAATCAAAGACTTAGTGTAGCAGTTGGTCTGTTGTTGTGGGGTGACATATCACTTGTATGGTTAGGCTCAGTGTGTTATGTATGACTCCTTTCTGTTATTTCACAGTAATTAGTTACATTACAATATTACTGTATTTAAAATGTAAAACATTAGACGACTACTGCAGCACTAAGTAACTAAGTTACTCTCACTCCAACTGTGAAGATGGTGAACTTTTGCGCCGTATAAGGACTAAACCAGGATTAAACCAGGAATGAACTAGGGCTAAACCAGGACTAAACCAGGATTAAACCAGGACTAAACCAGGAATGAACCAGGACTAAACCAGGGTTAAACCAGAGCTGAACCAGGACTGAACCAGGTCAGAGCAGAGTTCTGCATCAGTCCTTTCGCTCAGTGTCACCCGACAAGTCTACACAGGCGTGTCTCTGGTGTTTCACCACTGCTGATATCGAGGTGATTTTTGCAAATTTGTATGAAAAAAAAACACCAGTCCAGGTTAATAAAGTATTGTAACGCGCGTTACTAACATTTGTACAGAGTATTTATTTTTTTTTCCCTGTAATGCCACATTACTGCGTTACAGCAAAAAGCAACACATTACAGTAACATGTTACTCCCAACACTGCTCCACACAGACCTCCATCTGACATCTGACATCCTCCATCTGAACACCACAGATTTTGTCACACACTTTTACTGTCTACTTATCTTTCTCTGAAAACCCATAAAACCAACAAATACAAGAAAAAGTCAACAAAATTTCGATAAAGGAATGATAAAATGATTTAAAATGTTAGATGACACATTAAAAGAGCTGAGCTTCTGCATCAGGTGAACCTGCTGCTGTCCTCGTCTGATCATCTGCTCAGTGTTTCTTATCAAACCTCAGGGACCAATCAAACACACTCCCCAAGTACTTTAGAAGAGTTCAACATTTCTACTGCTTCCCTGTGGATTAAGCTGGATATTGGTCAGTTTCTTTGGTTTTAGCCACATTTAAGTGCAAATGGTTATTATCAGACCGTTAGTGAGAGCAGGTGGAGCTCGGCCGTGGTCTGAGTTTGCTCCCTGCAGGAGAAAGACGAGGACAGTATCATGTGAACATTTTATTATGTAGCTGCTCTCATTTGCAGACCTACAACTGTCTGTTAGTTGAAAACCAAATGAACCTCATTGGACAATGTTATTGCTTTGTCTGGAATGTTTAAACCAGGGGTGTCAAACATATGGCCTGGGGGCCAGATCCGGCCCTCCAAGACCTTTAATCTGGCCCTCGGCTGATTTTCTACTAAAATATTTCAATTATATTTTCTATTAAAATCTTGTTAATTTTCTGTGGTGTTTACCACAGCAGCGTCTCTGTACGTGGCCCCTCCCACCAGAGCAGCACAAATGAAGACTTGTCTCTTTCCAAACGCTCTTAAAGGACGATTGTTTTGACTGTTGACCGTGACACCCTCATCAGAAAAATGTCCAACATGAGAAAAGTGGAGACAAGTGCAGGACTGACTTATTCCTATTTGCAAACAAGTTCATGTTAAAACTTTGTGTTGAAATTGCATTTTTCTTAAAGTTTCAGGTTGTTCATAATATTATAATATTTTGTAAAAGAAAGAGTTCATCAATTAAAAAAGATTTCTGTAATAAATTTGTGTTTCTCTGCACAAATATTTGAACTTATTGTTATTTTTGGGGTTTATATGCCATGAGTTTTCTGATCCGGACACTTTGGGATCAAAGTCAGTTGGATACGGCCCCTGGACCAAAATGAGTTTGACACTCCTGATTTAAACTGTTCTATCTTCATGGAAAAGTTAAAGGTCAAACCTGCTCACAGTCAGAATGTTGTTGTTCCAGGTCTGTTTGAGTTATAAAACCACCTGTAATGCAGAGCTGTTTAATGTCACACTGTGGAACATTCCAGGCAGAGCAGTGACGTATCCATAGGAACAAGCAGGTGAAAAGACTGAAATCTGAACATAAAAATTACAGAAGCAGCACATTTGAGCGTGTACAGTTCTAAACTACAGGATTAGACGGGCTTTTTTAATGCAGAATAAGAGAGAAGATTGTGTTGTTTGTGGAGGAAATTATGGGACTTTGAAAATTGCAGCCTTTGTGATCGGCTAAGTGCGTCCGTTCAAACTGTGAGTCTGTTTTGATACAATCCTTCTGCACTTGGGCAATACACATTTTGCTTAAATACACGGAACAAATCGGATAGAGCCGCTTTAACATGCCTTTAACAAGATGTCCGCCGTCTCACTATCCCCCTGAGCGAAGCTACAACTAACCCAGACTGCACTAACTCTACACATTTGTTTATGAATGTGACGTGATTTACGATTCAGAGCTAATTACCGTAAGTCTCTGGCTGGAAAAGTGTGATTTTTCACTGTCTGCTGCAGTTTGGGTTTTAATTTCATTTTGTCCAATTATGAAAGCGAAAGTGACACAGTTAATCAGGGTTAGCGCTGAGTGTGCGTTTGCAGAACAGGCTGAGTTTAGACTTTTGGGGCTTTGTGTGTTTGTGTTTGTTTTTGTGCAGAGGGCATTTTCAAACACTGTTTACACTGTAGAAAAGGGAGAGCCACAAGAGGAAATTATCACGGTAAATGGTCACATTTTTATACAGCGCTTTTCCACCTTTTCCAAGAAACCACACACATTTACACACACTTTCACACACCAGTCTGTGCACACAACCTTCTGATCAGTGGACAATATTTTAACATAAAGACAACTTCAGATCTTGAGTAGATATTCACAGAGTTTACTCACAGCTCGAAATGTTTCTTGTTCTAAGATATTTTGTTATATCTTACTGTACACTGCAAAAAGCAATATCTAGGTACATTAAAATGATTTAAATTAAGAACATTTGACTTTAAGTTGATTCAACTTCATTCAAGTCAAATGATCTACCAATGGAAAAAGTGTGTACATGTAGCAAAATATATTTTAAGTAGTAAAAGTTTTGTTTCTTTGTTAAATCATTTTGCTTGTCAAGTGAAATTCAGTAAAATCATGATAAAACTTTAAATAAAACTATCAGTTCAAGTAATATTAACTTGGTGACTTAAGTATTTGCAGTGTAATCAAAGTGATCTAAGGGAAGATTATTTCTACGATTATTTCATCGATGTATCACCACTGGAGACACATCAGCCGCATACGTTGAAATAAGTCGAAATGAACATTCATTATCAAATTACAGTAAGAAAAAGAAACAAATCAGACCAAATTTAGTCAAACCTACCTAGAACAATTAGAATATAAAGTGAACTAGTTTCATTTTAATTATTGTTATGTTTTTATACAGCGCTTTTCCACCTTCAAAACACTGAAAGTGCTTTATAACAAGAACCACTCACACATTTACGCACACACTCTCACACACACACACACACACGCACTCACACACACACACACACACACACACACACACACACACACACACTCACACACACACACACACACTCTCACACACACACCACACACACTCTCACACACACACACACGCACTCTCTCTCACACACACACACACTCTCACACACACACACACACACACACTCTCACACACACACACACACGCACTCTCTCTCTCACACACACACACGCACACACACACACACACACTCTCACACACACACACGCACACACACACACACACACTCTCACACACACACTCTCACACACACACATGCACACACACACACACGCACTCTTAGACACACACACGCACACACACACACACACACACACACACACACGCACACACACACACACACACGCACACACACACACGCACACACATCAGTGTACATAGACACTTGGGGCGAGGAGTGTTAAGTGTTCAACCAACTGAGCTACTGCCACCCTACCAACACTTAAATAGTAAAAAAAAAAAAAAAAAAAAGCTGAATTATTTGGGTATAATTTTGATCACAATATCTAGATTATTTATTTTAATTGAATAATAATATATATATATTTTTTATAATATTGGTCTCAATTTGAAACCTTCATATTTCATAATTACATGGAACATATGGCTGGATGAAATTCTCTATTTCTGTATTTTATTAGATCATGAACCATGTCCTGTCTGGATGAGGTGCATCTAGATCAGGGGTGGGCAATTTTTTTTTCCATGGGGCCACATGAGAAACAGAAAAGATTGTGGAGGCCAAAATCCCGAACTCAGTTCTGCAGAATATTCATTGTATTTCTTTATATAAAAAAACAACAACAAAAAAAGCAGTACCAGTAAATATCATTGTTTTGACGGTCAGACTGGTGAGGTTCCATCCATTTTCTTTCACCTTATTGGGGCCGGGTCATGGGGTAGTAGACTGAGCAGGAGGCCCACACTTCCATCTCCACACACACTTCCTTCAGCTCTTCTGGGGGGATCCTGAGGCATTCCCAGACCACACAGAGACTCTGTTCCTCCAGAGTGTCCTGGGTCTTCCCTGGGTCCTCCTCATGAGCTGAAGTGAGGCTGACTTACAAAAATGTCATTAAAAAACATGTCTAAAATAAAAGCAATGCAGTTTTAGTCCATGCATGAGGTCAAATGATAAAATGTGTTTAATTTGTAATTCCAAATGATCTTAAAGAAGCCGGTCAGAGTCAAACAAAGACACACACACACACACAGAGACAGATGTAGTTGTCAGGTTCCTCTTGAGTAGTTTTTGCAGTACTTTCTCCAGTGCACAGTTGTACAGTGCAGTACTTGGCTGTGCTCGCCTCGTGGCATTGATCTGACTTGTGTTCTGATGAGGAGGTGTTGTGTTTATTCTCACACCCGGATCACTCTGTCAGCATAACCCTGGGTCACATGTTCTCTCTCCTCTCTCTCCTCTCTCTCTCTCTCCCTCACACTCTCCGTCTCCTTTGTCTCTCTCCTCTTTTCTCTGTGTCTTCTCTTTCGCTCACCTCTCTCTCCTTTCATCTCTCTCTCCCTCTCTCTCTCTCTGGGGATTTTGTGCATTTGTGATTTATTGATCGGTGTTTCTTTTTGCAGCATGTTTTTAAAGCATCACTCACCTTTGTTCTCTTCTCTTTTTTCTCCACCTCTCCACCCCCACTCTTCTCTCTCTCTCTCTCTCTCTCTTACAGTGCCTATGGAGCTGGTTGGACAGGAGCTGAGGTAAGGACCACTTTTGTCCTCTTTTTATCTTCTTCACAAATCACTCTTTCCTTCAGATAAACACAAACATTTGATTTAATTTTTATTCCTCCATCACCTGCGCCCCCCTGCTGGTCACTGACGGTTATTGATCGCTCTCGGCTGCTTTTTATTTCCTTTTTATTTCCCGTTTTGAGCAAAAATCATGAGACAACCTGAGCTCTGACTGCGGTAAAGCCTCTGACTGTAGTAACTGTCCAAAAAAAAAAACACATGTAAAAGAATGCACACATGTATGAGACTAAAAAAAGAGAGCTCCATTTAAACCTGTGACCTTCTGGTTACAGGGCGAGTGTAAAAATCTCCTCATCTCTTTATTCAAAACAATGATTAGACAAAAACATCTGCACACAAAATGCATTGCTAAAAAAACGAGTCGCAGTTGGAATTTAAACCTTGGTTCGTAGTTTTTCCATTTTTACTCTGAAAAACTAAATAAAATATTTCAAATTTCACTTCAAAATTTCTGTTTCCAAATGATAGCTGTGTAGTGGTGCTGTTGTCGTAAAACAGTGAAAACTGTGAAATAAGAGATAATAACAGAATAGCTCACACACAACAAATACAACTTGAATTCAGGACATTTGTAGAGTTGAGTTGTTTAAAAAAAATCCAAATAAGATGTAAACGTAAGATCCAGTTACCCTGTTTTTCGGACTATAAGTCGCACCAGCCAAAAATGTGTAATGAAGAAGAAAAAATAAATATATAAGTCGCACTTTTTGGGGAAATAAATTTTATAAAATCAGAGACCAGGAGCTGAGATTTCCTGTGTAAAGTCAAGTTCTAGTAATAACAACAGACTGTTAACGTCACATATGATAGGGTGACTATATTTCCGTTTGTGAAAACCCGGACACCTTATGGGGGGTGGGGCCTCGACATTGAGCTACTGTCACCTCGCAAACTCTGCACATGGCCTCCCACTTGTCCCGACCGGAACGAAAAATGCAGAATTTCTTGTACAAGTCATTGTTAATTGTGTATTTGCGCTTCGGCATGTTGCAGACTGACCGTGACTGTTTGTGTTTGCCCGCTTCTTCTGAGTGCACAGAGAGCTACGCGAGCAGATCAGTTTAATGGCGGTAATGAAAACCCAGACATTTCCATCACTTAAGAAAAAAAAACCTGGTCGTCCAGGACAGGACACAAAAAACGGACATGTCCCAGGAAAAACGAACATTTGGTCTCCCTAATAAATGAACAGTTCTTCAGAAACTATAACATAAACAACAGAACAGAACAAGTTTACCAAACTCTCCATTTCACTCCAAATCACTAAATCCATTCAATTCTTCATCCTCGGTGTCACTTCTGAACAACTCCTCGACCTCCGGAGGTAAAGAGAGCACCGCTTCCTCTTCTGTGTCGCTGTCGTCAGATTCAGCATCAGTTCCAGTTAGAATTATTCAGGTCTTTCTGAATCCCGACAGGATGGTTTTGGTGTCACTGAAGTTCAGGCTTCCTGGTGTCACAAGTTTCTCTCTCACTCCAAACTTTCTTTCTGCTGCTCGATTATCATATTCAGCTGCAAATTTCACAACTTGCAGTTTGTAATCTGTAAAATCAGATTTTCTTTTCGGGGGCATTTGTGTTCAGTCTTCTCAGTGTCTTTATAAGTTTGTTTAAATGTTAAATTGTTCAGTGATACAGAAGTAATGGTGCGATCGACTGCCATGATACAGGCAGAACAGAGGCTCTTTCTGCAGGAGACATGTGCAGTAGAGTGAAGTAACAGTGGTACACGAGTAATAGTAGTACTAGATACTGACACACCAGCCTAAAGCCTCTTGACTAGTGATGGGTGAATGAAGCCTCGTGAAGCATAGACACCTCAGTCGCAGTATTGTCTCAAATGGTTCAATGTGTCTGAGGCTTTGGAGAAACACTGACCTCTAGTGGACAAATTTAACCATTGGCACACAGGTGTCTCAGCACTGATGAAGTATTGTTAGTGTAAGACAATACTTGTGTGCAGAGCGACACCGCACCTAACAACAACAATAATAATGATGATTTAAAATAATATGTAAAGAGCAACATAAATAGCAGCTGTAAATAAAAAAATAGGTGTTACCTTGTTAGGTGGAATTAGATCAAAGTGATCCCAAACCATGGATCGCTTTTTTCTACTTGTAGATGCCTTCGAAAATGAAACAAATGCCAAAAGTCGCCAAAAATCACCACTAATGTCACACAATACTCCTCACTACCAACATTTTTAACAAATATTGGTGCATCTTTTATACTGTAGCAGTTTAGCTCTTGTCAAACCACAGAAGTGCGCTGAACACTCTGAAGCACTCTGAACCAATCACAGAGCGGAACATTCGCTGAGCCAATGAAACGCTTCGATACACTGAAGCGATCGACACACAGAGCGAAGCAGTAGGGGGAGGGACCGACACTTCCACACTTTGGTCACGTGAGCGGCTGCTGCGAGTCGAGCTCCGAGGCAGTGCTTCAGAGCGATTTGTTTCAGAAAGAATGAGACGTGCTCCAGAGCTCCGACTCATTTGCCTGTCACTACTCTTGACGCTTCACTCTGAATATTTTAATGTATAAGTCACACAGGACAAAACAGTGCAGGATTTTTGTACCAAATAATGTCAGTAATCTTTGTAGTACTTTTTAAAGCAGATCTATACTCAAACACACATGAATACTCCAAATACTTCACAGTGTCAGTGAGAAGAAAGTACTAGAAGGTGGGTAAAGGTGTGAAAAGCCCAGTTTGCAGAGCAGGTCTGATTTCCCAAACAAAAGGGAAGTGTGTGAGCAGTGAAGTCCTCGTGTAGATCCGGCCTTATCGCTGTGATTAAAATGTGCAGGATGGCGCGTCTCATTTCAAATGCTAATGCCATTTTTAATAAGTGAAATTAAGCAGGGATAATTAGAGTAATAATAATAAAGGCTGAATGCTGCAGGTCGTTATGTTAATGAGAGTCGTCAGGTGTCACGGCAACGGGAGCCGCGGCAAACCAACCATGCACTGTAAAAAATATATAGATGAGCGGTTAACTTGGGTAAAATGTCACGTGGTCAGTTTTAATTAAGACACAAAGCTATGGAGATGAATTAAAGCTCTACTGTGGAACATTTCAGGCAAAGCTGAGAGATCCGTGTATCGTTCGTTTATTTGTTTTTCAAAATAAAACCAAAAATAAGAAAACTAAAAAGCTATTATTTTCTTTGTTATTTGTCTCCAAAACCAAAATGAGAAAAAAAAAAAAAAAAAAAAACAGATAACGGCCCTTTTCTGTTTCCGTGACTTAAATTGTGATGCCGGACTTTTGCACCACATACAGACTGAATCAGGACTGAACCAGGTCTAAACCAGGACTAAACCAGGTCTAAACAAGGTCTAAACCAGGACTAAAACAGGACTAAACCATTTCTAAACCAGGTCTAAACCAGGTCTAAACAAGGTCTAAACCATTTCTAAACTAGGTCTAAACCAGGACTAAACCAGGTCTAAATCAGGTCTAAACCAAAACAGAAACAGAACTAAATCAGGTCTAAACCAGGACTAAACCAGTCTCAGTCCCGGTCTCAGTCCTGGTCTCAGTCCCGGTCTCAGTCCCGGTCTCAGTCCTGGTCTGGTCTCTGTCTGGTCCCAGTCTAAGTCCTGGTCTCACTCCTGGTCTCAGTCCTGATCTGGTCTCTGTCTGGTCCCAGTCTAAGTCCTGGTCTCACTCCTGGTCTTAGTCCTGGTCTCAGTCCTGGTCTGGTCTCTGTCTGGTCCCAGTCTAAGTCCTGGTCTCACTCCTGGTCTCAGTCCTGGTCTGGTCTCTGTCTGGTCCCGGTCTCAGTCCCGGTCTCAGTCCCGGTCTCAGTCCCGGTCTCAGTCCTGGTCTCAGTCCTGGTCTGGTCTCTGTCTGGTCCCAGTCTCAGTCCCGGTCTCAGTCCTGGTCTGATCCTGGTCTCAGTCCTGACCACACATCCTACACAAATCCTCATCATTTCTGTGTACATATTATTTGAAATGTTCCACAGTGGGGCTTTAAATCAAGTCGCATCTACTTGACCCATATCTTTAATCAGAGAGGTTTTGAGAGAGGGGGAAGAGAGGAGGAGAGGAGGAGAGGAGGAGAGGAGGAGAGGAGGAGAGGAGGAGGAGGCATGGGAGGAAATTAAACGTGTTTGAGCTGATCTTTATCGCACGCAGTAACAGGATATGGCCATGGGTCTGTCTCTGCTCTCCTCCTCTCCTCTCTCCATCTCTCCATCTCTCCACTCCTCCTCTCCTCTCTTCTCTCTCCCTTCTCTCCCTTGCTCCTCTCTTCAGTCAGTATCGATGAAAACGAAACATTACATCAGTCTTTCATTCTTCTAACTGCTAATTGTAACACCGATAATCCCTTCCTCGCTGCATTTTTTCTACAGTGTGTGTGTGTTTGTGTCTTTGTGTGTTTGTGTGTTTTTTTCACGTAATAAACTAACCCTTCGTCCTAACCTGGGTGTCCCCCTCCTCTCCATCAGCTGCCCCACCCCAGGATGCAACGGGACTGGACACATTAGCGGCAGATACGCCCGGCACCGCAGGTAGGCCCGGTCACCTGTCGCACTAACACTGCTCATCTCTCGAGTGCAAACGTGGACGAGGAGATCGGCACGAGTGTCTCCGAAAAAGACGGGAAACAGAACTCGTGAATTTGTAAACACTTGGATGGATTCGGAGCGTCCTGACGATTCACCACGATGAGTTTGTAAGCTCTTTTCAACACTTTCACAGAGCGGAGTTTTTTAATCACGGTAAAGCTCGCAATAACAACTACTAGCATGCTAATGTGCACTTCCTGATGATTTGAAGCAGACAATATACAGTGGACTTATTTTGCATATGTGATATGTCTGAACTCGGTGGGACACTTTCTGCTCAAATGAGAGAGAGAAGAAAAAAAAGATCCTGACTTTTGTGGAGCTCCAATGTTTCCTTCAGCGAGTACACAGGGAAAGTGTCTTGCTCAAGAGCGCACTGACACACTGACTCCAGCAGCAGCTCTTTACGACAGAACAGGTCTCAGTGGTGTTTCTTTGGGTCACTGTGCAGGGCCTCTCTCTCCCTCTCTTCTCTATCTCCCTATTCTCCACATCTTTCCTTCCTCTCCACTTCTCCTATCTCTCTCTTTCACTCTCATCTCTCGCTCCTTCTACTCTCCCTCTCCCCTCTCCATGTTCCTCCCTCCCTCTACTGTCATTCTTTCTCTTCCTCTCTCTCTCTCTCTCTCCTTTTTCTCTCCCCTTTTCCCTTCTCTCTTCCCCTCTTCCTCTTCCCTCACTCTCTCCTCCCTCAACCCCTCTCTCTTTCTCTCCCCAGCTCTCTCTCCCTATACCTCTTCCCTCTCTTCCTCCCTCTCTCTCTCCTCTTCACTCTCTCACTCTCCCCCTCTTCTCTTTTTCCCTCTCCCCTCACCCTCTCTCTTTCACTCCTTCTCTTTCTCACTCTCTCTACCTCTTACCTCTCTCTTTCCTCTCTCCCTCTCTTCCTCCTCTCTCTTCTCCTCCTTCTCTCTCTCTCCCTCTCTACCTCTCCCTCTTCCCTTTCTCTCTATCTCTCCCCCTCTCTGTCCTCTCTCCCTGTCTCTTTCCTCTCTCTCCCTCTCTCTCTCCCTCTCTTCCCTCTCTCTCTTCTCCCTCTCTCTCTCCTCTCCCTCTCTCTCTCCATCTCTCCTCTCTCCTTCTCTCTCTCTCTTCTCTCTCTCCTCTCTCTCCGTCTCTCCTCTCTCCTTCTCTCTCTCTCTTCTCTCTCTCCTCTCTCTCCGTCTCTCCCAGGTGATGGAGTCAGAGTTTATTGGATTTCACTCTCCGTTGCTCGCTCGTCTCTGCCTCGTACTCGTTGTTCATTAAACGTTCCACTCAATTGGCCGAGGCGCACCATGATTGGCCGGGGGACGCGCCGCGATGAGCCGTGATGAGCCGTGATTGGCGGAGAGGCGAGCGAGCGCAGCGCCCCCCGCAGGCTACATGTGTTTACTCATATCGTGTGTTCAGTGACGCGCCGCCGCTTCCACTCGCATGGATTTTATGAACATCAGATGCCCTCCCGTCCTCTCGTCTTCCTCTGTCAGATGTCCTCACACTCTCCATTTTTTCCATATATTTTGAACACAGTTTGTCTTGCCCTATTACAAATATACTGTATTTCCAATCAGGAAGTGTGCTGTTAGCATTCTAGATGAAGTTAGATTTTCTGGGACAGCTCTGGTCTGTAAGAGTGAGAAAAGTGCTTCTAAACTCATTGTGGTGAATCGTTAGGACACTCAAACGCAAACTCCTTCTGTTTTTCATCTTTTTTAAGACGGGAAAAATCAGGAACAGAAACTGAACTCTGTGAAGTTGGCCCCTCATCAAACACACACTTAAACAAAACTATGTCAGTCGTTTGTGCTGTAAAAAGTTTGGTTTGTGCTGCTTTACTTTTGGAGATATTAACCATTCTGTTATTGGTCAAATTAGGGTCAGCAATCCCCAGGAAGCTTCAAAATGCTCTAAAACAACACAAAATGTCAACCGTTTGTGCTTTCTTTGCGCTGTTTTATGCTTCAAAAAGTTGAGTTTGTGTGATTCTGGTTCTTAAGATATAAACTGTTTTATTTTGGGGTGATGATGTCATCCAGCTCCTCAAAATGTTAAACAGCCTCAAAATTAAGTGTTTGTATTTGTTTGTGCTGTGATAATTTTCATTTCATTTCTAAAATTATTCATTATTTGTCCGATGAGGTTCATTTGGTCTTCCGATAATATATGTTATTAGGTTCTTTTTTCAGACCAAGGGTTTGTTTTCATACCTGACACTTTCGACTGCTCACAACAAGTTAGAGAGAAAGAGAAACAGAACCAGAAAAACAAAAATAAAACGGAAAAAAGAGCACAGGCATTTTACCATACATCAGGGGCAAAAGTGCAGAGAGCAATGAGAAAACACAATATCAACACACCAGTGAAACCGTATAGAAAACTCTGGCAATTACTTGTCCATCCGAAAGATAAAATACAACCGGAGCATAAATATAATGTCATTTACAAAAACATCATTGGGACAGAGGAAAACAAACATCACTGGATTAAAGAGGCAACTGAAATACAGAAACGTGCAAATGGGACGATAAACCAGGACGAGGGGCCTTTTTACTCTCACACACCTGGGATACTGTCCTGAGGAAGTTGGACTGCAGATGGCGCTGTCGTCCTGCCTCCACCGAGAGGACGACAGAGACAAAACCTGTTTAAATCAACTGAACAGATACGTCACAGCAACATCACGTGACCACTCTGAGGAAGACGCTAGTGAGCAGTCCAAACTGTCAGGTATGAAAACAAACCCTTGGTCTGAAAAAAGAACCTAATAACATATTATTCATTTTATGTTTGCCAAAATTATATGTTGTCATTTCCACTCAGCTGATGCCAGCGGCTTTGACAAAACTCCACAAAACTTTTTTTGTTGAGTTTTGTTAAAGCCGCTGCTGTCAATTCAGCGGAAATTATAAGAAGTCATTTCCGCTCAGCTGACGGCATCGGCAAAAATAATAATGAATTATTTTAGAAATGTACTCCCACAAATGAAAACTGTCACGGGACAAAACAGCACAAACAAATACAAACGTTTTGGATAATTTTGAGGAGCTGGATGACGTCATCAGTCCAAAATAAAACTGGTAATATCTTAAGAACCAGAATGACACAAATGAAACTTTAAACAGCACAAAACTACAGAAGCCGAGAGGGATCACAACAAATGCAAATGCCGCAACAAATACAAATGTGACAACACAACAAAAAGCCACAGCAAACCAAAAAAAGCCACAATGGAAATGACCGCGGGACTCTATTTTAATGCAAACGCCGCAACAAATACAAACACCACAACACAAACACAAATGCCACAACACATCAAAAAGCCACAACACATTAAAAAGCCACAACACATCAAAAAGCCACAACAGAAGTGACCACAGGACTCTATTTTCCGACGGACCGATCAAGCGGCAAGTGAAGGAGAAGAACTACAACGTGAAACGAATAATGATAAAACAAAAATAGAGTCCCGCAGCCACTTCCATTGTGGTTTTTTAATGTGTTGTGGTTTTTTAATGTGTTGTGGCTTTTTAATGTGTTGTGGCTTTTTAATGTGTTGTGGCTTTTTGATGTGTTGCGGCATTTGCGTTTGTGTTGTGGTGTTTGTATTTGTTGCGGCGTCTGCAGTAAAATAGAGTTCCGTGGTCATTTCCGTTGTGGCTTTTTTTGGTTTGTTGTGGCTTTTCGTTGTCTTGTCGCATTTGTATTTGTTGCAGCGTTTGCGTTTGTTATGACCCCTCTCGGCTTCCGTACAAAACAGCACAAACGAAGCACAAACGTTTGACTCCATTTTAGGTTTTTAGAGCATTTTGAAGCTTCCTGGGTGAGCTTCCCAATTTGACCTATAAAAGAATCATTAATATCTCCAAAGGGCAAAAGGAGAAAGCCAATTTGTCAACTGGACGAAAGTTTATTTGGTTAAATACGTTTTGCAGCTCATCTAAGCTGTTTCTGCATTTCTGGTCAGACGTTAATTGTCCACAGTGTCCAGCGGCATCTGACCAAAACTGAAGAAGCAGTTTGGATTAGCTGCAAAACGTATTTAACCAAATAAACTTTTGTCCAGTTGGCAAATTGGCTTTCTCCTTTTGCCATGAATTTTACCTGGATGACTGAGGGATTTTACACAAAATATCTCCAAAACTAAAGCAGCACAAACCTAGTTTGATGGACCTAGTTTTGTGTAGGTTTGAGTTTGAAGGGGCCAACATCACATAGATCATGTAGATTCATCTTTTTCCCTTGGACCGTCTGAACTTGTGTTGTATTTTTGGTTCCAGTGTTCTCGGGTGCCCAATCGCCAGAAAGCGTCGGTTGGAGGAAGCCGAAGCTGAACAAGAAACAGAATCCGAACGCCCCGCCTCCAAAAGGAAGTCCCACCCCCTGAAGCTGGCGCTGGACGAAGGCTTTAGCGCAGACAGCGACGGCAGCAGCGAAGCAGAGGGAGAGACGGAGAAAGAGGAGAAAGAGGGGGAGGAGACAGGACAGAGAGAAGAGGAGGAGGACAAAGCAGAGGAGGTAGAGACACAGGAAGTAACAGCAAACGTCACAGAAAATGGACAGACCAATGGAAAAGAGGAAGAGAAACAGGAGGAAGAGGAGCAGAAAGATAAAGGTACGGACATGTTGTAGCTCTACTGTATTTCAGACGACATCACAACATCGTACAGGCCAATGCTGTTCAACACATGTGCACATCCAAGTCATACTGACACTTTACACTCACATCACACTCAAGACAAAACACACAATAGATTTAAACAGCACATTTTCAGGAGTTTGTGGTCAGTGTGAGCGTTCATGGTTCTGTTTAGGAGTTTGAGTTTCAACAAAAAAATGAGACTCACTGAAAACCTGTTGGCTAATGCTAATGCTAGCTACATGTGCTTGTGATGTTATTTGAGAGAGACTTGTTTAAAAACACAAATCAGATCACATGTTGTAGTTCCAACTAAATCAGTTCTTTAAATGTTAACATAATGTTAAATAAAACTCAGATTAAAGTCTTAGTTGAGATTGAAGACGTTGCACTTTGTGTGTGTTTTAGTTTCTTGTGGATATGTGGGTTTGTTTCATGACAGAGAAATGAACCAATCATTCTACACGTGAGGTTTGTGTGAGACTAGAACCAGTGACCTTCTGGTTACAAGGCGAGCATAAATATGGCTCTTTGTTCAAAATAATTATTCAAACAAAAATGCATTGCTACGGAAACGAGTCGTGGTTGGAATTTGAACCTTGGGGACTTCATTCAGAAATTCTAAGTTTTTAAATTTTTACTCAGAAAAACAAAGACCAAAAATGTCCAATTATTCAAGAAATGACCTGTCTAAGGTTATCTATTCACAACCTAACAAATGTCACAATGTGACTCATACGACCTTTGATAAAACAAATAATAAAATCCTTTATTGACACAAATGAAACTGTATCTTGTTTTTATCTGTGCAGAAAAAATAACCATCTTTAATCAAAAAATTATGAAGAAATAAAAATGAACAATCACAGTTTTCAATATTTTTTAAACAATTCTTTGAGTTTTAAGGCGCTCAACCCAATAACATATTTTTCATTTCTGTTTAAAGCCTCAAGAGTCCTCACAATCAAACCAAAAGAGATATTTGTACTTTCTCTTTCCTCACATTTTATAATCAGAGAGTGTGATTTGTTCATTTGGTTCAGTGTTATGTTCGTTTACATGAGGCTCAGGTGACGTCATGACAATGACTCTTAGTGACTGTAACGAGAATTACAGTTAAAATGACTCACCACTCTGACTCACATCACCTCAACCATCAATGTATTCATTTATTTATTATAGAAGACATTTTCTGCTTTTTCAAGTATTAGTAGTACTATTATTAGGATTAGTATTAGTACTCAAATATACAGACATATAGCTCAGGACTTTGGACTTGATTGATAATAAGCTGTAATATTGATCTAAAAAGGCTTAATAATCAGAGATGGGTAGAAATTGTACTCAAGTACAAGTAACATTCATCAAAATATTATTACTCAAGTTCTTTAAAACGTTACTCAAATAAATCTAAGTGAGTACCATCCAGCGCTGGAACACTGTTATAGCCAGGTGAAAAGTTTAAAAAATGAATCTTGTCAAAATGAATCAGAAGTATTAAGTTTGGCTTTTTTCATCTCATCAAAAACCTGGCTGATGCTCTGGAAAGTGGACTTGACAGAGTCTCTCCTCTTTGATCTATTTGACAGAGGAGAGCGTGACGATGGAGTGTGAGCCTGCCGCAGCGCCCCCTGCCGTCCCCTCAGAGGAACAGTGTCCTCACGCCGGAGAGGAAGTGGCCGACTCTCTGCTCCACCTGGCACAAGAGTCAAAACACGGCCCCAGCGACGCACCTGCACCGGGGGCCGTCTTAGAACCAGAAACCATGGAGACGGAGGAGGAAGAGGAGGAGGAGGAGGTCCCAGCAGCAGCAGAAGAAGAGGAGGAGGAGGAGAAAGAAGAGGAAAAAGAAGAGGAGAAAGATGAGGAAGAGAGAGAGGAGGAGCCAACAGAGCAGAGCCTTCAGAACGAGGAGGTAAGAAAATGAAAAATAGGTTTTAATATCATTCACGCACAAACATCACATTAAAGCTCTTTTATTGCACAAAATGGATTTTTCCTCCTCAAAAACAGACCCCGAGTTGTGTTTCGTTTCATCCACACATGTTTGAGTAACACTTTATTATTACCTGTCATCTTAGGTCCCAGAGCCCGCAGAGATGGAGAGAGAGCAGCCTTCTCCAGCAGTGATGGAGGGAGCGGAGGAAGAGGAGGAGAAAGAGGGTGAAGAGAGAGAGGAAGAGGAAAAGGAGAAGGAAGAGAACCACATTTTGCCTGATGTGCCCAGTGCCGTCCCAACTATCACCAGCACCGCAGCGGCTTTAGCTCAGGGATCCCACAACGCCACCCAAAAGGACTACATCTCCCATACACCCGCACCACAGGAGTACAACTCCCACACACCCGCAGCACAGGACTACAGCTCCCACACACCCGCAGCACAGGACTACAACTCCAGCGCGTCAGAGAACTACACCTCCCAGAGCCCGCAGTGTCAGGGCTACGATAAGGCGAGCCCCGCGCCAAGCTACGGCTCACAGCACGCTAGCTCCCCCCTGGATGAGTACTACAGCGGCAAAGTGCACAAGAGCTCGTCCAGCACGTCGCTGGACATCATCGAGGTAAAGAATCAAACTACCAACACTACACTGTCAAAAGAGTCAAACTACCAACTCTACACTGTCAAAAGAATCAAACTACCAACTGTACACTGTCAAAAGAGTCAAACTACCAACTCTACACTGTCAAAAGAATCAAACTACCAACTCTACACTGTCAAAAGAATCAAACTACCAACTCTACACTGTCAAAAGAGTCAAACTACCAACTCTACACTGTCAAAAGAGTCAAACTACCAACTCTACACTGTCAAAAGAATCAAACTACCAACTCTACACTGTCAAAAGAATCAAACTACCAACTCTACACTGTCAAAAGAGTCAACCTACCAACTCTACACTGTCAAAAGAATCAAACTACCAACTGTACACTGTCAAAAGAGTCAAACTACCAACTCTACACTGTCAAAAGAGTCAAACTACCAACTCTACACTGTCAAAAGAATCAAACTACCAACTCTACACTGTCAAAAGAATCAAACTACCAACTCTACACTGTCAAAAGAATCAAACTACCAACTGTACACTGTCAAAAGAATCAAACTACCAACTCTACACTGTCAAAAGAATCAAACTACCAACTCTACACTGTAAAAATTATCAAATTACCAACTCTACACTGTCAAAACAATCAAATTACTAACTCTACACTGTAAAAAAAGAATTAAACTACCAACTGTACACTGTCAAAAGAATCAAACTACCAACTCTACACTGTAAACATTATCAAACTACCAACTCTACACTGTCAAAAGAATCAAACTACCAACTGTACACTGTCAAAAGAATCAAACTACCAACTGTACACTGTCAAAAGAATCAAACTACCAACTCTACACTGTCAAAAGAATCAAACTACCAACTCTACACTCTAAAAATTATCAAACTACCAACTGTACACTGTCAAAAGAATCAAACTACCAACTCTACACTGTAAAAATTATCAAATTACCAACTCTACCCTGTCAAAACAATCAAATTACTAACTCTACACTGTAAAAAAACAATTAAACTACCAACTGTACACTGTCAAAAGAATCAAACTACCAACTCTACATTGTAAACATTATCAAACTACCAACTGTACACTGTCAAAAGAATCAAACTACCAACTCTACACTGTAAACATTATCAAACTACCAACTGTACACTGTCAAAAGAATCAAACTACCAACTTTACACTGAAAATGATCAAATTACCAACTCAACACTGTCAAAAGAATCAAACTACCAACTCAACACTGTAAAAAGAGCCTAACTATGAACTCTATGGTGTAAAAAGAATCAAACTACCAATGCTGCACTGTACGAAGAATCAAACTACCAACTCTAGACTGAAAAATAATCAAACTACCAAGTCTACATTGTAAAAAGAGAGAGAACCCTAGCTAAGAGAAGAAAACACTTTTTTCCACCTTGTGATGTCATTAAGAGGTAATACAGGAGGTGCTCCAATGTGTTTTTAGACTCCATACATCTTAATTACATTTGTATCATTTCAGCCATGGGAATGTCAATCACTACTGAACCAAAGGTAAAAACAACTGTTAAAACAATGAAAAAACTACCACTTCATGACATCACAAGGTGGAACAGAGCATTTTGAGCTTTGGAGACAGACTACTTATAAAGGATTACTCAAACATGTGTAAATAAAATTTTGTGTGATGTAGGACCTTTAACTGCGTTTACTTTTTGCATAATTTTAAGTCCTCAGGTTTTGTGCTACCAGGTCAGACTGAAAGTGTGTGTTGTATCTCTGCTGTTAGGTTGGCTCTGATAAGTCTGAGAATGAGGACGGTGACGATGAGGACAGCCTGTCTCAGAGGTCCACTCTGACGGAGGACGAAGAGGAGGAGACATTTGACATGACCAGGGGGAATCTGGGTCTCCTGGAGCAGGCCATCGCTCTGAAGGCCGAGCAGGTCAAACCTCTGCTCCGAGCTCCAGAGATCCTCCACCCACACAGACCCTACTTCACCCTGGAGGACAGACCCAAACACCTGGAGGCCCTGAGGAAGAGCTACTTCAGTAAAGGTGAGGAGGGAGGGGGGCCTGGTCTAAAGCAAATCTAAACTAGCAATAAACAAGGACTAAACCAGAACTAAACCAGGACTAAACCAGGTCCATACTAGGTCTAAAGCAGGACTAAACTATTTCTAAACCAAGTCTAAAACATTGCTTAAACCAGACCTAAACCAGAACGAAGCTCGACTATGCGCGGACTATACCAGGACTCAACCTTGAGAAGATCAGGTCTAATCTTGGTCTAAACCAAGACTGAACTAGGACTAAACCAGATCTAAACAGGACTAAACTTTGACAATATCAGGTCTAAACCAGGTCTAAACAATTTCTAAACCAAATCTAAAACATTGCTTAAACCAGACCTGAACCAGAACTAAGCCTAGACTATACCAGGACTATACCAGGACTGTGCCAGGACTAAACCTTGACAATGTCAGATCTAAACAAGGTCTAAACCAAGACTAAACTACACCTAAACCAGGGTTAAACAAGTATTAAACTTTTGCTGAACCAGGTTTGACAAACCAAAACTAAACTAGGTCTAAACCAGGTCTACACCAGGTCTACACCAGGTCTGAACCAGGTCTGAACCAGGTCTGAACCAGGTCTAACCCAGGTCTACACCAGGTCTACATCAGGTCTACATCAGGTCTACACCAGGTCTAAACCCAGTCTAAACCAGATCTAAACTAGGAATCAACAATCAAATCCAGGAAGAACTAAAAAGATTTAAACCAGGTCTAAACCAGTTCTAGGTCAGAATCAGGAGTAAGGAGGTCGAAATCAGGTTCAAATGGACTTAGTCACGACCAAATCAGGGATCTCACACTTTCTTCTTTACGTAAACTCTCTCTGGGCAAAACTCATCAGCACAAACTTTCACGTAACCAGGGCTGTTTAAACTCTTCTGTTTGTCCAATGAGATCAGACTCTAACCGCTCCGAGACCAAAACAAAAACACTGAATCCTGAGTTTGAATTAGGATTTGAAATGAGTCTTTTGTCCCTTTGTCTCGCTGCTTTGTCGTCTCAAACAGAAACACAAACGCTGTGCAGTTGTGCTGTTGTGCTGTTGTGTTGTTGTGTTGTTGTGCTGTTGTGTCGTTGTGTTGTTGTGCTTTTGAGCGATGACCTTTGTGAGAATAAAAGGTACATTTGTCCTGATCCGAGTGTTTGGAGCGCAGTGAACACAGACAGTTCTCCGTCGCTTTTGTGAAGAGGAGGAAGAGGAGGAAGAGGAAACTCAATAGGTTTTGTTCAAGAGCAACAAAAAGAACGCCACAAAAACAATAACTACAAATACAGTGGTTCAGAAATCTGTATTATTTTGTACAAGCTTTATTTATTAAACCAAGATTATTTGACTTGTTTAAAGAGGAGATATTCGGGCAAAGTCCACATTTTGGAGCTTTCTACCACGTTTTAGATGTCATCTATGCATGTTTGAGTAATTTAGCAATCTCTCCTGAGCCCTATTTGAACACTCCTTATGGTTAGCAGTACAAGCTTGTACAAAGCTCCACCCACAGGCCTACGTCAGAGTTAAAAATCTGGGGGCCCTAGGTGAACTTGAGTTTGGGGCCATCACTATAATGCACTTTTTTTTTAATATATATATTTATTGTCTGTTTTTCCCCATTGTTCTTGAGGCACACACATCTCTATTTATTTGAATTATGGTGGATTGGAAACTTGTCTTATTAGTTTGGTCGCCTACTAGATAACAAGAGCTGAAAGTTTTTTTTTTTTGTTTTTTTTTTATAGTGCAATTACATTTTTTGTTTACATATGATTTTTTTTTTATTATTATTATTATTGTTTAAAAGTAAACTACTCTTATTTGATGTTATATTGAGAGAAAATCTAATTTCTCTGAGATCTTGGCCATTAGTGACACTGAGGTCAATTGGTTGGGGGCCCCTCCGGGTTTGGGGGCCCAAGGCAGCTACCTACATTTGCCTAATGGTAGTGCCGCCTCTGCCCACAAGACAATTCTTAATAAATAAACAAAAACATGATACAAAACTGTACACAGCAGCTTGACGTGTAGTAGTTTCATTAGCGCGCACTGATTGCGTTGAGATAGCGCTCTGAAGGGGGAGTGACTTAGCGTGGAGAGCAAACGGAAGGGAGACTCTGAACTAGGGATGGGCAAGATTAGTCGATTAATCGATAAGAGATCATTAAGAATTTCATCGATTACGTTCATTTTTAATCGACAAACCGAATGTAGGTTGCTGTGCGTAGTGTAGCGTGACCAAATGTCCGTGCCCGGGAACAAACAGGGGTCTGTACATGAAGCTCTCTGCACTCAGAAGGAGCGAGACACAAACAGTCGGTCTGTCTGCAATATACCGAAGCACAAATGCGTATTTAACGATGACTTGTACAAAAAATTCCACGCTTTACGTTCTGGTCGGGACAAGTGTGAGTCCATGTGCACAGTGTGTAAAGCAGCACATATGTTTCAGTGTCCAGTGTTCACCAGTTCACCAGGACACATAAAACATGAAAAAGTTTTGCCAGGTGAGAGTCGCTCAATGTCGATGACGAGGCCCCAACTCCCACCCCCCGTATGGTGTCCTGGTTTTGACAAACACAAATATGGTCACACTAACCTTTATCAGCGCACAAGAGCTGTTTTATTTTTCTTTGCTGAGTTTATGCAAATGAGCCATGCGTTTTTAAGTTTCGTTTCTGTGAGAGTTGTGCAAAGCTGCACATTCTAATGTCAAACGGGCTGATGTGGCTCTAGAGTGGTGATGGTTTATATGTCGTAAAGTTAAATTTATTTATGCAGATTAGTAGTGCATTAGTAGTGCATTCTCCCGACGATCGATTAAGAAAATGTATTCGAATGCCCATCCCTACTCTGAACATCCAAAAAGAACGTAAACTCCATGAGGGAAGTGACTGTATCGGAGTACATTTTGCTCCTAATGTCACTTCTCACATGGTTTAGAAATGTATGCGTGTGTTTGTGTGTGTGTGTGTGTGTGCGTGCACGTTCAGATCGCACCCTCCTCCTCTTCTCTCTCTTCCTCCATCCCTCCCTCCCTCTCTGTTACTCTCTCGTTCTGCTTAGCACTAATTATCAGATGTGTGTCTTGTTAACATTCAATTTGAGGGTCAGTGGAGCATTGCGGTACACTCTTTCTCCCACCTCCTCTTTCTCTGCTCTCTCTCTCTCTTCTCCTCTGTCACTGTGCAGTCTATCCTCTACACCTCCTCCTCCCCCTCTCCTCCCTCTCTCCCTCCTCAGATCGTTCTTGTCTTTAATGAACTCACACGCGGCTCAGTCTGACCCCGCTCTGCTCTGGCTCGGGTCCAAACACAGAAGTGGGTCAGCTCCGCTCAGGTTAAAGGAGGGACACTGTGTGCGTTTTATTTCACATGTTCATCCAAAACATACACATCAGAAGTTACACTGTCAAATCCTCTGTCCTCTGCATTTGACCCGTCCTTCAATGGCTCTGGGTTAAACCTGTCAGGAGCAGTGGGACCCATCTCCAGATCTTGAGCTAGTCTTGGTCAGGATGATCTTAGCTGGAGGATTTCACCTATGGGTTGATGGTGGAAACAGAACAAGAAGAACATTCAAACTCCACACAGAAAGGCCCAGCAGTCAAACCAAGAACCTTCTTGGTGTGAGGTGTCACCCAAAAACCTTTTTAGACTGGTTTAGTCCTGGTTAAGTCCTGGTTTAGTCCCAGTTTAGTCTTGGTTCAGTCTTGGTTTAGTCCTGGTTTAGTCCTGGTTTAGTCCTGGTCTAGTCCTGGTTTAGTCCTGGTCTAGTCCTGATCTAGTCCTGGTTTAGTCCTGGTTCAGTCTCTGTACATTTGTCTGAAATATGTCTAGATTTTCTGCTCGGTCAAGCACACCATCTGATGGAGGATGATAGCACTAACTCTTGTCTACTTTCTCTCCTTCCCCTCTTAACCCCTCCTTTCACTTCCTCTTTCTTATCTCCCCTCCCTCTCTCCTTTAATCCTCTGTCCCTCCCTTCTCCTACCTCTGCACTTTTCCGCTTTCCCTCTTCTCTTCTCCCTGCATGTTTCTCTCTCCTCCCTCCTCTTCTCCTCCCTCTCTCGCTCCCTCCTTCCCCTCCTCCAGAGAGCGGTTCACGCCCAGAGAAGAAAGAGGTGAAATGCCCGACCCCCGGGTGTGATGGCACGGGTCATGTGACCGGTCTGTACCCACATCACCGCAGTTTGTCAGGATGCCCGCACAAAGACCGCATTCCTCCTGAGAGTGAGTTGAACATTTTACAGCACTTTAAAACACTTTAAACACTTTCAATATTTTACAACACTTTAAACACTTCACAACACTTAACAACACTTTAAACACTTTTAAAACACTTTAAATAGTTTACAACACTTAACAATACTTTAAACACTTTTATAACACTTCAAATACTTAACAACACTTTACAACACTTTACAGCACTTAACAACACTTGAAATACTTTACAACACTTTACAACATTTAACAACACTTTAAACATTTTTACAACACCTTAAATACTTTACAACACTTACCAACACTTTTAAAACACGTTAAATACTTTACAACACTTATTTATTTATGCATTTATTTTGGGCAAGTAAAGATTTACATTTATATACAATGGAACATATGACATAAGTGAAATCATAATAGAAATGAAAATAACAACAACTACTAATAACTATTATTATTGCTATTTTGCCCAAAAAGGAGTGGGAAGAAGAAAACTTATTTAATCCCACCCCTACTCTTCATAATCTAACACAATGGTCTTATTTTGCAATACAATACTTTAAACACTTTTACAACACTTTAAATAGTTTACAACACTTAACAATACTTTAAACACTTTTATAACACTTCAAATACTTAACAACACTTTACAACACTTTACAGCACTTAACAACACTTGAAATACTTTACAACATTTAACAACACTTTAAACATTTTTACAACACATTAAACACTTTACAACACTTTAAACACTTAACAACACTATAGAACACTTTACACCTTTACAACACTTTAAATGCTTTGCAACACTATGCAACACTTTACAACACTTTACAACACATCACAACCACAATAATATCAACAGATCCTGGTTTGAGTCACATTATAAGAGTCACATTTAAACCTGTTTGTTGTGTTTTCAGTTTTGGCGATGCATGAGAATGTTCTGAAATGCCCAACACCCGGCTGCACTGGACAGGGCCACGTGAACAGCAACAGAAACACTCACCGCAGGTACACTTCTGATGTTTGCACATCTTCACTGTTTGTTTGATCATGATTTTAGTGAATAATGAGTTTTTTTAATCAGAAATGATCTTCTGTTTTAAATATGACTTTTAACAGGCTGTGTTGTGTGTTCTCTGTTTTCTATGAGCATGCGCAGTTTCACATTTGCAGAAACAGCAAAAGTGTCAGAGCTCATCAGGGCGAGGTCCACAGTCAGCACATGGTTATAACACACTCTGTCTCCTCTGCCCCTCCTTCTCTCCCTCTTCCTCTCTTCTCTCCCTCTCTCCTCTCTCCTCTCTTCTCTGTCTCTCTCTCTCTCTCTCCACAGTCTCTCTGGATGTCCCATCGCAGCCGCAGAGAAACTGTCCAAGTCGCAGGACAAACAGCACCTCCCTCAGGCCGAGCTCAAAGGCTCCAACGACCGAGTCCTCAGGTGGGTCTGGAACCAGACCTGGACCTAGTCTGGAGCCAGGACTAGACGCGGTCTGGAACCAGGACTAAACAAGGACTGAACCAGGACTAGGAACCATTTCCTGTTCTGGTTCAGTTTGGTGCCCTAGGAGAGAGTTACGATGGCGCCCCCTGCCCTGACTTGCAGTAATACATAGGATAATATTGGGTACTTTTGCTTAGACCTTTGTAATCATAAGTCCATTATTTGGGCGCCCTAAATAGAATCCAGAATAGACTTTGTGGCGTTGCACAGGGGCACTCCCCCAGGACATTTGGAACAGGTGTAATTTCCTGTGTTTTTACAATAATACATTTGTGTCATTTAGAGAGGCATTTTACTTCTGTCCAAGATTAAAAACAGGGTCATTATTTAAACGTGGACAGTGGCTCTCACGGCTCGCCCATGTCTGACCATTGAGGGAATGAATAATGCATCACCCAAACTCACAAGCACTACATAAATGAAGCACATTTATAGTTCTGAATTCAAGTGATTTTTAAACATGCTTTAGAGCGACAAGCCGAGCACACGCTCTGTCTTAATATGGTCACGAGGGCTTCATATGTGAACACAGCTGCATGTTTCTATTGATCACAGTGACAGCAGAGCCACACACACAACACAACAGAACAGACGACTGGAGTGAGCACGTTTCACACAGAGACAAAGGCTCATATTAAGTCTGAGTCCTGCACTGTCCTCCTCCTCCTCTCACAATAGCTCTGCACCAGCTTAATTAGCTTATCGCACCGCTATTAATTAAAATACCAACGAGGAAGAGTAGGACTTAGCATAATACACCGTGTTCGTTTACATTCTTGTGTCAGAGAGAGACGCAATGGAGGGATGAGCACAGAGAAAGAGAGAAAGAGAGAGGGGAGCATGGATAAGGGAGTAGAGATTGACACTGAAAATATACTGATATATCTGACAAAAGGTTAAAGAGAGGCTGTTCTACAAAATCCTTTTTTTTTTTTTTACTTTGTACCATGTTATAACATTGTTCCCTCATCAAAAACACGCCTGAAGAGGTTTTAGAGCAGCCCTGGGCATTGTACAGCTCCCGAGCACATACAGCCTTTTGGTATGTGGTATAAAACCGCATCGCTTTTATTTTAGAGCTGTTTTTTATGACATTTTTTGTAAGGCAACCTCACTTTTTCATTGCTTAGTCAGAACATAAACTCTTACCAGCTCGTCAAGACAAACAATGCAGAACTGAGCTGAGCATTTTGGCCCTCCACAATATTTTCTGTTTCTCATGTGGCCCCATGGAAAAAATAACTGCCCACCCCTGTTTGAGAATCATCCATGTATTTTTGAGTAATCTAGCGATCTAGGATCTAAGATTCTGTACAGATTCTGTACAAAAATCACACAAAAATCATTCTGTATAAAAATCATACAAAAAACCATACAGTGTCCCTCGTTTATACAGTGGTTACGTTCTAAAAATAACCCACAACAGGTGAAATCCGCAAAGTAGTCAGCTTTATTTTTTATAATTATTATATCTGTTTTAAGGCTGTAAAACCCCTCAGCACACACTTTATACACTTTTCTTAGACAAAACCGTTCCAACCATTTCGAATCCTTCTTAGAACTTATTGCTGCTGTTGTCCTTTTGTTATGTTCCTCTTTCATTATGTAGCGAACCGAATAATCATTTATTCCATATTGGCGCCTACAGCAGCATAACTTCTCCCTTCCTTCAGCGTGTCCAGAAGTCCAAGTTTTTGTGCGATGGTTACATCTTCCTCTGCCTTTTGGGTGCGACCTCAAGAGACTTTGTCAGTGCAGAAAGTTTCATCGAAATTGTGGATTTTATCGAGGAGAAAACTCACAAACATACAGCACTTCAGAATCACACTGAGACAGATCCAACATTTCCGTAAATTTGGCAAACTGAACACATTCTGTACTGAACAGGTGACACGGCACCGAGGAGATTGATTGACAATGGTCTACACAGTCTCTTAGCCAATCAGGACGCAGGGGGAGGAACACAATGCACGTTCATACACTGTTAAAAAAAAAAAAAAGAAAGAAAGAAAAGCATGGAAAATTGCACACACAAAAAATCTGCGAAACAGCGAGGCCGCAAAAGCTGAACTGCGATATAGGCAACTGTACAACAACTTAAGAAACCTGATGTGATGTGCAGTCGTTTCATTAGTAGGACACACGCTGATTGTGTTGTGAGTGTGCTCTGAAGGGGGAGTGAGAGCAAGTCATTTTAGCTCCTGAAAATGATATTTGTTGGTAGTAGACCTTTTAAAGCTGTTAGTCCTGCTTCAGACCTGGTTTAGTTACAGTGGTCCAGCTCAAGATCATTCTAAAGACATTCAGAAAAGGTTCACTTCTGTCCTGTCAATGGAACTTGTTTAGTATTGATACATGTGAAAAATGACTATCTGTTATTAGTATCAGTTAGAATCTGATTTTCTTTTAACAAGCCTACCCCTTTCTATAAATAAGTGTATTCTAGTCCTTTTAGCTTTTATTTAATTTAATTGTTCTGAGTCATTGTGCGTTATCGGCGGATTAGTGAGCAGGGCTGACAAACGCTGCCTCTTCAGGACGTGAGAGGGATTACGGCTCATACAGCGGAGCTTTCTTTAAATGGTTTGTGTTCTGATAACTGTTTAATCCTCCGCTCTCCTGTTCAGCGCAGCGTCTGACCTCCTGTGACCCCACGCCCGCCGCAAAAATCACACAAACGCTAAT